GCAGTTTTGCCAGCCCCACTCCAAGCAGAACAATACAGCGAGCCTTCCCCGGTGCCGAGCAGCGCACGGGGATCTTCCTAGACAGCGAGGGCTATGGCTGCTTTAAAGTGAAGCAGGATTCCCCGAAGGGCCTTCACCCCAAATCCGACCACCACCACCTCCTTTCTCCATCAAAACCCCACAGGGAGAGCAGGCACTGCAAGATGACGAGGCAGCAGGCAGAGGAAACGAGCTCAGGCTTCACAGCAGAGTTTTATTGAAACTGCCCCAGCACAGAGCTCATGCAGCCGGGCGGTGGTGAGCAGCGAGCACGCAGAGCTGCCCAAAAACATCCAGAGGGTGTTGCAGGACGCCCTAGGGGAACTGCACAGCTACTGCGCCCTTCGGGCCATCAGCATTTCCCGGATGTTGTCTTCAGCTTCCTTCACGCTCCGTTCCAGGTACGACTTCTTCTGCTGCAGGGCAGAAAACCCAGAGAAGAATTAAGGTCCACCTTAGCACTGACAGTATGTGCCAGGTTGCTGGGGCCAAGAGCAGCCCAGGACAGAGCTACAAGCTGCCTGCTTGAGGGCACCTGCGACCCTATGGGTTTCCCGAAGTGGGGACAGCGGTTATTAATTTCCAGAGGCATCCTGGAAGCATTAATATTTACCCTGGGCAATGTTTACACAGACTTTGAATTTTGTTCCCTCGGAAACCTCCTTGGAGCTGCTGGGGCTGTTGCAACAGCAGAGCTGCAAAGAGTAGGATACATTAACCATAGCAAGGAAAGAAAAGGAAACCAGATCCTGTAACGCTTGGAGCCTAGAGAGGAAGTAACATGCTGAGGTCTCCTTATGGAGACAACAGCAAAATCCTCTAGAAAAGGCTATTCTTCCCAGCTGGGCCAGTTTTCTAAACCCAGATCCTCCTTTCTATCAGAAATTCCCTGGCATCATCACCAAATACGTGTGTTTCCTTAATCATCTTTAATTAGGCTAGGCTTGGCAGGGAAGCAGCCTGAAGCTGTGCATCCTAAGATAGGAATTCAGCATGCAGCGTTTTTTCCTGCTAGTCTGGGTGCTCCTAGGTGACTGGAAAAATCGGTGCTTGGCTCTTTTGACTATTTTCTCTGGGTTTCCAAACAACAGACACAACAGTCTCTGGTGGACGCCAGGATGGCAGAAGGCGTTGCTGTGCAAGTGCAGGCAGCCCTCATGGCTGGATGCAGACCTCCTTGGGAAGCAGCAGGGAGAGCATGGCTCCAAATGCATTTCGCTTTGGGCTGGGGGGACCCTTGCAGAGAACCACAGGGAGAGCCCTCAGGGGCACACGCAGGGCTCCACGGGTGGTACGTGCTGCAGGCTGGCGCAGAGCTTGCTGTCCTCACAAGGTCCTCTCCTCAGCAAAGCCTGCTGGGAACCGCTGCGCACGATGCTCCCACTACCCCACGGTGGTTACAGCCATACACTGAGCCCCTTCCCACGGGCCTGGAGAGCTTGATAGAGCTCGGTCTCCAGGCCAAGCTAGGTACCAGTAAGCATTGGCAGGATTATCATTAAATTACAGGAGTCTGGGCCTCAGACTAGACCATCCTGCTGTAGGCTACACTAATTGTCTCCCCAGCCACGGGCAAAGGAGCCTGATATGGCATGAATGACCTCCAAAGCCCACCAAAACCAAGGACACCTAAAGGGGGATAGTGGAAGTGCTCAGCCATGTCGGGGGAGCTGGGGGAAAGTGTAGAAACACATGCTGCTCTGGGCTGTTCCCCCAGCTGCCAGCTGGCTGGGGCAGAGAAGCACCCATGGGTGCAGGTTGCAGCAAAAGCACATGCTAGCCCCTACCAAGCAGCATCTTCCTGCTATGGGGGCAGGCCGGAGGGCTTGTGTGTGAGCGAGAGGACACAGCCACTGCCAGCTGACAACAGGCAAGAACTGCAAAGTTGATGCTCCCCTGACTCCTACAAGCCCACAGGGAGCTGGGACCCCTAACACCGAAGGAAAACTCACAAGCACATGGGACAGTCCTGCTGCCATCACTCCCCATCCATCTCCTCACAGCAGACCTGCAGTGACACTTCTATACACTCAGATGAAATGCCCATGCCCTGAGAGCACCTCTTCCAGCCCCATTTCTAAATACTGAAGGGCTTTTATTTAAACAGTAAAGGTTCTTAGTGACAGCTCGGGCTGTGGGTATGGCAAAGGACTCCTTGTCCCTCTCATGCAGTCCCCAGGCATGTGGGATCCCTCTCACTTACAAGGGCTGCTTTTCAGGAAACCGCTGTGAGAGGAGGTGCAACGCGGGTTCCCGCTGCCAACGACTCGCTGACGCACGAGCAGGACTTCTGACACTGCCGCGCTGTTCTCACGCTGCCCAGACAGACGTCGAGGGATTTCACATCTAGGGAACTGAATCTGAAGGCTGCGAGGGGAGACAGGTCCTGGAAACCCTGTGTGGGCCCGAGTTCCACCTCGCTCTGCTGACTGAAGGAGAGTCAGCAGCAGAGTTGACTTCTATGCGTTCATTTAACATTTTTTTAATGCAATTAAATTAGTCTATGAAACTGTTCTACTTTTCTCTCCTCTCCACTCCCCCTCATGACTAGCAGGCAGCAAGAGACATCTCCAGAGACCAGCTCTCCACAGGCAGGCTGGCCCCAGCAGCAACCTCAGGTCAGCCAGGCAGCCCTGTCACCACACAGGGAAGAACCCACATGCAGCCAGGAGTTGGCAGGCTGCAGACGACAGCTCTATTCTCCTAGCACAGTGGGATTTCAGGTGCATCCTGTTAGGAAGCCATGTTGGTGACCATTCGGGGCCCAATTCCCTGAGGACAAGGGACCCTGAGCATTGACACGGCCTGACACAGCGCAGAAGCATCCATGGCTGTTGTGCCCACTCCTGTGCAGTGGTGTGCTTTGCCCTCCCTGGGGGAGCAGGGGTGCTGGAGCTACCCAGCTCATGGCAAAGGGACATGGTTTAATGCCATTCCTTTACTTTTAGCATCACTTGTGGTCCCTGGCAGGTGAGGATTCAGGGTATTTGTATTTCCCTCAATCACTCTCCTCAGTTTCTGGGGCAAGAGGATCTGGGCTGGTCCTGACACTTCTACTCCTTCCTCCCAAAAGCAGCCTCCAGGGGAGGTTCAGCCCTGGGCTCAAGGAACATCCCTTGAGCATCAAGGGAAACCCTGCACACGGAGCCGGGGGGCTGCAAACATTCTGAGCTCTCCTGCAAGCCGGCAGCAGGCAGCACTGGAGCCAGCACAGCAGCTGGCTCCCATTCCAACTAATGGCCGGAATCAAGGGGGACCGAGGAGCAGACGGTTGCCGCATTTTCCAAGACACGTGGCAGAAGCAAGGTGTTCCTTCCCAAGGAGATGTGGCCTGGTTTCTGCTTCAGTAATCACAGGAGAAGGAGCAGGAGCTTGCATACAAACCCCTCTTCACCACAATTACAGAGGTCTAGACAGGAAACTCCGTCTCTCCCTGGTGCGCCCTCCCCGGGGGGCAGTGCCGTGAGCAAGCCGGCTGACACACACTCTGCCTAGTCACACCAGCTCTCCAAGAGCCCACAGATGGTCTGACAGTGCAGCTCTGAAGTCACCCTGGAGGCTGTTCTGGTCCAGCCAGATCTGCCAGGCTGCTGTGGAAGGAACATTACTGAAGCCTCCCAAACCCCACCTCCAAGCTTCCCTGAACTCCCACTGCTTTCATTTGCACTTCATGTTGACTTGCAGTCCTAGTTAATCCTATGTCCTCTGACCCTCCGTTTTGGGCCAGCCTAGGGCTGCTAGGTTTTAGCTCATCACCCAATTAGCTGCATATATTTTCCTCTGAAGGTATGTTTGCTCCTCCAAGTGTTAATTCTTTGTTGCCTGTGCCAAGGCAAGTAGAGCTAGCAGCAACTGTCCAGTGCAATGCCAGAACTGTATTGCTGGTTTTGGTCCCTCATGAAACCAAAGGCTGCTGCTCTCTGCAGCCTCTGGTAGTACTTTTACACCAGTAACTCCAGTGCTTGCCAGTCAGGAGCCTGAGTGACTTCAGATGCTGCACAGCCTACAGGCTGCAGATTCAGAGCACCTATCTGCTCCCCACACCAGCAGTGCCATAAACTACCCTCACCCACCCATCAGCCCTGCAGGCCTCTGGCCAGACAAGGTGGTTACCAAAAACAGCAAGAGACACCGCTGCCTGAGTCACGGAGTATCAGGGTAGGACTGAGAAAGGAGACTTGCTTTGGGAAGGCAAGGGCCTGGAGGTGACACATGCCACTCAGTTCCCAGAGAAGCCCCAACTCAGGGCTTACAAATAGGGCCACGCTCTACAGGCAGTGCCACGAGGTGCTGGCGTCTCCCCAGCAGTTACGCAAGGAGCGTGGCAAGGCAGCGAAGGAGGAAACACAGCACAGCAGGAAAAGGCTGGTTTGTCAGCCGATGGCTCTGGCTACAGTGAGGGGCTGGTTCCTCCTCCTGGTTCACAATTGCCACATCCACTTGCTGCAGATTTATTCACCACACTGCAAAACACACTCCGTGTTACTGAAACTCAGCTGAGAGGTGCAGCTTCTGAACACCCGCTCAGCCAGGGCAGTGAGTGCACACCATTCCCTGCACTGCAGCTTTCAGGGCTTTCAGAAACACTGCTTTGTTTCCACAACCCACACACAGTAACTCCCACTCAGGCAGGAATGACCCAAGGTTGCAGGTCCCATCAGCACATGAGAAGCCTCTCCACTGCAGAAGCAAGGAAGGGAAGCTGGAGGCCACCTTGAAAGTGGCTGAAGGCATGTGAGAAGGTAGCAGGATTTGCAGCTACAGATTTCTGGGCACGCTTCACACACACTCTGAAATCAAGCCAGCTGCCCTGCTCCAGCACAGGACAAGCTCTTGCACCCTCACTTGTTCCCACCACAGGCCACCCACCAGTTCTCATCCAACCCATTATTTGTGGTGACAGCCCTTCGATCCCCCTCCTACCCCGCTCTGTCCCCACACAGGAAGGGCACTGCCACCTGCACTGGGACACAAGACCAACACATGGCTACTGAGACAGGCTAGCGAGGTCTGGGCCATGTGCAGAAAAGCTAATGGAGGCATCTTCTGCAGATTTGCATACTAAAAAGCCAGCAAAGTCAGTGCCTCCCAACCCATAGTTTAGTAACTCCTTTAAGCTAATCCTGCTGCCAGCTACAGTCACCTTCCCTAGCCAGGAAGGGCTGCAGCACTTGCGAGCAAGACAAACCACAGCCCTGATGATCTGTCTGAAAACTAGCCCAAAAGGAAATGTTCTCACCTAAACCTGCTTTGTGGAAGTAGGTTTGCCGTGCTAATGGCTGCTGGGCACTGAGATGGAGGGTGAGAAGAGATGGCCAAGAACTCCTCCTTGGGCAGAAAAGCCAACCGCACCAGCTGGACCTCCCAGCACCTACTGGGGGCTCTGAGGCTCCCCTGCACCTGATCACAGATGGTG